CCTTAACAGCAACCCAGCATCTGCTGAAACTCCTCCTGACCTCAGAGACAGGGTTTAGGGTTGAGGGTAGTCCAATTTGCATCCCCTCACACAGCTGTATGTAGGGGAGATGGAAAACAAAAAGAAAAAATGCACGATTTCACAAAGCGTAAGGAAATTCAACCTCTTGCATCTTCTTGCATTATTGCGTTGCAAGCAGCCATCGCCAGCTGTTTGATCGAAGAAGCCTGCCGGCAGGCTTCAAAGCATGACATCTCTGCCGCTTGCAAACTGCACACTCCTGGCATGTTGCGGGCGTGCTGCTCAGCAAGTGTTCGAAAGCTGTAGATTTTCCAGAACATCCATCGCCCAGCAGCAAGAGGACTTGATTCTCCTTCGGCCAGGGCAAGAAGCGTCTAGCATCGCTAAGCAGCTTCTATGACTTCTGCCACTCCTTCTTGTCCATGCTGCGCTTGTAGGCGTTTGCAGATGCATTGAAAATATGCGGTGGCAGGGCCGGATCCTGCTGAGCAAGCCAGGACGATATAGGAGCTATCCAGGGATCATGTCATGCTCTCTCTGCAGGGGTTTCCCAAAATTAGTTTCACCTTACTGAGGGTCCTTATAGTGAAGACTTTTGTACTAGGGGTCTAAATTAAGATCCCCAGAATTATGGAAACTGCCATGTTAAGCTTACACTTGTAAAGCGCTTGAGATCATATTTGTTCAGCGTGCCAGTGCTGAGGCAGGGTCCAGAGCAGAATACTTCTCCACATAGGCTTCACCGAAGATCTTCAGCATTCTGAAAGGGTTCGTGCACAGCGTCACCATGTTGATGTTCGAGTACCTGCTACTGCTCTATGCTTTTGAAAAGAAAGGAAGGAAGCATCCAAAACACGTGAAGTTCTCCGGTAGATGTCAGTGGGAGCTCAAGGTGGCCTACCCTGTGCTTCCTTTTCAGTGCGGCCCTACCCGCAAAGGCCTTTTAACGGCTGGGTTGCTGTTAAGGAACTTAAGTTAAGTTACTATATTGGGGAAACCCTATTATTTACTATATATACCCATTATGGTAACTTAACTTAAGGTNNNNTCCTTATCAGCAACCCAGTTTAACGATCAATCCAAACCCAGGAGCGGGTTTGTGGCGCAGAACTGATTCCGAATTGCATCCTGAACTCGCAAGGCAAAGAAGGCATCATGGGGTTTAGGGTTTAGGG